GACCAATCCCGAGTGACTGACTGTAAGGGGCAGCGAGTAATCGCACGAGTTGTGTCGCACCTAAGTCTATCGTTGACCAGTTTTCGCAGCCGGGCGCGATAGTAAACGTACAACAGAAAAAGGCGAAGACGACAGGCTATTAAACAGCGATTAAGGCAGCGTGGAACTGGATGAAACTTGAGGTCGCGGCAAAACGAAATCGGCTTCACAGCAACCGTCGAGTGAATTGGAAAACCGGCCGTTTGCCCGTCGTGTCTGACACCGCGGCGCGACTCAAGGCCGCGGTGACGTCGCGATCGACGGGGGGGGACGTGGTGACGATCGCCGTGAGCAGAACGCCGGTTGTGCAAGGCGCCGTGGAATTCGGCAACATCTACTGCCCGTTTACTTCATTAATCATCATCATCATCAAGCGATGACGCGAACGTTCAGTTGATTCTACCTCAGGGCTCTTGGACATCGTCCGGCAGAGGCTTGACGAGTGGACAAAGCCGTCGATGACGTCGCGTCAAAACCAAATCTGAGTCATAATCTCTATGATCGGGGTAGGGAGCACGTTGGTATGCAAGAGACTGAGCTTTACGATTTCGCCAGGATTTTTATGTCACTACCATCCATACGATAAACCAGCGGTATTCATTTTCATTTCATTTCCGGATACGTCCACCAGACGTTAAATAGATGCCTTGTATGTTTCGGGTTTTTATACCTTATTCCTAGATCAAGGTTATTCGGTCGTTGGAGCGTGACTTATGCACAGTCGAAGGGTCGTGGTTTCAGTCCTCAGTCGAATCACTCGTCTTTCATCCGTCCGAGGTAAATAAGTGACTCCACTTCGTGGGGAGGAAACTGTGGACTACAAGCTAGGTCGATCACAAAGCTTTAGACTGCTTTTGATATAGCCCTAAAAGACGCCAGAAAGGGCATTCCTGGTTGATAACATAGAAACGGAGATTGGCGCCACACCACACCAAAAGCATCCAATACATCTTTCTTTCGGTAAATATTTAGTTCTGTACTGAGAGCACGGTCATCGTTCAGACACAAAGTTGATTGACTGGTTTGTTTGTTTGTCTGGTTAATTATTCAGGGTTGAACGGATAACTGAACTGTGAAGTAGGATATCAAGATATTTGGAATTTAACGAACAGCGATTAACAGCAGTATTCAAGCGAGTTCCAATCACGGTCGGATCACTCGCCTTTCTTCTTTCCGAGGTTCATAAATGAGTATCACCTTGTGGGAAGGAAACAGAAGACTACACAGTATGCTGGTCGCATAGTTGCTGTCTATTCTGCTTTTGAGAAAACGCAATCCGGGCTGATGGCATGCAAATGGTGATCAGCGCCCCACGATCAACTTCAAGAAAATAAGAGCGGCAGAATGGTCCAGTCATGCATTTGTAAGGACGACCTACGTTCCAGCAGTTACAAACTTTCCTTTTTCCTTTCTTCCTCCTTATGCGGCTATTCAGGATGATGAATTTCTTGTTGACGCAATGTATCCATCTGGGCATTCGCATTCTACGGACTTCGGCAATTGCTCGTTACTCTTGCAAGTGCTTGGACGTCAGGGCATCGAATCCCGGCCTGATGACTCTCCTTTCCTCCTTCCGAGGCATACGAACGAGAACCGTTTCATGGAACCGTAGAGGTTGTAGGCCAGCATGGAAATGGCCTAATACGACTTTGTATTCAAAGCAAAAAGGCAATCGGATAATATTTGGAATATCACTTCCCGTTACATTTCTGTCGTTTGCAAGCTACGCGCGATACTTTTTTTCATCAAGCCTAAGATGCAGGACTAATCTCCGTTGCTATGTGATCAGCCACGAGCATTTCGTTGTTTTCCTTTCTTGAGTAGCCGCATTGCCAGCCAGTACACCACTACAGTGTGCAGTTTCTTGTTTTCTTACCACGATCTGATACTCATTTACATGCGTTTCAAGGATGAAGACAAGGACTCGATATCACGATTATCCTGTAGAACGCAACGATGAGTATCAGCGCTATGACATCGATATCTCTTGCGCTTGTCGGTGCTTTACGGCAGATCTTCTGGTCAAAGGGGCAACTCGACGACACTCATCAAGCTCCGCATTCTCAAGTCAAACGGGCCAATCGTTGAAAACATGAATTTACATCAATGAGTTCAGCAGTACTGAGTTCGCAGTGAGTTCTTCAGCGCTTTCACAACACCTAATCCTTGTAATCTAGCCCTCATCAATCAAGCCTGACTTAATTACTGTGCTGAACTAAAATCCTCACTGGATTAGAGTCCGGTTTAATTTGAGCTGTTCCTGCGCCGAGGTGTCCATTAAGCTGTCTGATCATGGAAAGCAGACATCGACCAGTGTAATCTGTCGCATCACACGAGAGCTGTCTGAAGTAGTCGGTAGTCTTCACGGTAGTTTTGAAGACACTGTCATTGGCCCTGACACG